GGAAACAAATATTTTGTTTCCTTTGTCGATGAGTTTAGTCGAAAGTTGTGGATCTATGTGATCAAACGAAAGGATGAAGTATTTAAAATCTTTAAGAGATTCAAGATACTTTTTGAAAACCAGAGTGAGAAAAAGATCAAAGTTCTACGAACAGATGGAGGTGGCGAATACACATCCAAGATGTTTGAAGATTTCTGTGCAGAACATGGTGTTGATCATGAGGTAACTGCTCCTTACACACCTCAACATAATGGAATTTCTAAAAGAGAAATAAAACCATATTAGATATGGCAAGATGCACGCTGAAGCAAAAGAATTTGCCAAAATCTTTACAGGGAGAAGCTATTTCGACTGCAGTTTATATTTTGAATAGGTGTCCTACTAAGATATTGAAGAACAAGGTTCCTGAAGAAGTGTGGAGTGGAAAACGACCATCAGTAAGTCACTTGAAGGTGTTTGGCTCTATGTGTTACAAGCATGTTCCTGATGCAAGGAGAAGGAAGCTTGATGACAAGAGTGAACCTATGATTCTGGTAGGATATCATAAAACTGATACATACAGACTATTCAATCCAGTTAATGAAAAGATTGTGTTGAGTCGAGATATTGTGATTAATGAAAATTCTGCCTGGGATTGGAATTCTAGTAATTCAATTAACAAACATTAATGAAGTTTGATTTCGACGAAGAAACTAATGAAGTAGAGGTCGAAGGAATTGTTGAGAATCCAGTCGAAGTCGAAGAAGAAGCGGTTGTTGACACTCCCGTCACAGTCGAAGTCAAAGAGGTCGTGGCTGAAACAAGCCAAAGACCACAAAGAAATAGAGTTCTTCCAACAATACTTCATGATTATGAAGTGATGGGTGATGATGAAATCACACCAGATGGAGAATTAGTTCATTTTTCTTTACTTGCAGGTGCTGAACCAATCAACTATAGCGAAGCTTTAAATATTAACAAGTGGAAGTTAGCTATGGTCGAAGAGTTACAGGCAATCGAAAGAAACAACACATGGGAGTTAGTCGAATTTCCAACACATACAAAAGCTATCGAAGTAAAATGGGTGTTCAAGTTGAAACACAATGCAAATGGGTGAATAGCAAGACATAAAGCAATATTAGTAGTTCGAGGTTTTCTTCAAAGAGCAGGACTTGACTACTCTGAAGTATTTGCTCCAGTAGCAAGATTAGAGACTGTTCGACTAGTAGTAGCATTGGCATGCAACCAAGGCTGGTCAACATTTCATCTAGATGTGAAATCAACATTTTTGAATGGTCCTTTAGACGAAGAAGTTTATGTCACACAACCTCCTGGGTTTGTGATTCAGAAGGAAGCGAGTAAAGTATATAGATTGCACAAAGCACTTTATGGCCTCAAGCAGGGACCTAGGGCATGGAACAAGAAGACCGACTCATACTTAGTCGAATTAGGATTTGTCAAATGCAAATCAGAGTATGGTGTCTATTTTCAAGTTGTAGCACAAGATATAACAATCATCTACTTATATGTTGATGATTTGCTAGTAACTGGAAATAGTTTGGAGAACTTGTCGAAGTTCAAAGAGCTGATGACGAAGGAATTTGAAATGTCGGATCTAGGAAAATTGTCTTATTTTCTAGGCATGGAATTTCAAATGTCGAAGCAAGGTATGGTGCTACGTCAAAGAAAGTATGTCAAAGAAATAATCAAGAGATTAAGAATGGATGATTCAAATCCTGCATCCTCACCTGTCGAACAAAATGTGAAGTTGGAGAAGAATGGAGAGGAAGACAAAATCGATGCAACTTTGTTCAAGCAAATTGTAGGATCTCTAAGGTATGTGTGCAATAGTCGACCTGATATAAGTTTCGCAGTCGGATTAGTAAGCAGATATATGGGTGAACCAAGAGTGTCACATATGAAGGCTGCAAGAAGAATCCTTCGATATTTGAAGGGTTCAATAAATTGTGGAATAATATTTCGACGAGATTCTGAAGGTAAAGAAGCAATAGTTAATTGTTTTTCAGATGCTGATTGGTTGGAGATAAGGAAGATCGAAGAAGCACAACTGAATATTTCTTTCAATTATTTGGTGCCCCAATCTCATGGTGTTCGAAGAAGCAACCTATGGTGGCATTGTCATCGTGTGAAGCTGAATATATAGCGGGATTCTATGCTGCATGTCAAGAAATTTGGATCAAATATGTACTTGAAGAAATGACTGTCGAAGTGAAGAAACCTCTAGTATTGCAAATCGACAACAAGTCAGCCATAAATCTGGCGAAGAATCCAGTTCTGCATGGAAGAAGTAAACATATTGAAGCAAGGTTTCAATTCTTGAGGGAAAAAGTAAATCAAGGTGAACTTGAAGTTAGACATTGCTCAAGTGAAGCACAATTAGCCAACATTTTCACCAAAGGATTGAAGATCGACAGATTCCTGAATTTGAGAAAGAAATTATGAATAGTTCAGATTGACTATTTTTGAGGATGTTCGACAACTTGGATTATGGGGGTGTGTTGAAATATTAAATTAGATTAGATTAGATTAGATTAGATTTAATATTTAATATAATCCAAGTTGTGTTAGCCCAAGCCTAATTAGAGTTGTATATAAATAGTCATAGTGTGTATCATTATTTATACACTTGAATAATACAAACCCTTATTTCCTTTATTATTCTCTCTTTCTCTCCTCACTAAAAGTGCCTCACGCACTAACAATTTCATCGTGTGTCATATTCTAGGCATGAGATGATATTTTCATAATCTTTATCACCATATAGGAATATGTCAGACCAATCTACAAAGACTTATAAATTAACTTTATTTAAGAACTAGTATAACATGTTCTATTTAACAAAAAGGTTAAATCTTTTTTATTTTTAAATCTATTTAATTAAATAGATCAAATTTAAATTATTAAAAAATTTATGAAATTTTATAGGCCGGTCTATATACGTATATATAGGCCGGTCAATAAGACTTCATAGATAAAATGAATTATTTGAAAGCCTTAATGAGAAAGAGATTTTTAAATTAACTTTTAGGTCAGACCAAACTTTTAAAAATGTCAGCTCAAACTAAGAAAAAAAGTCTATAATAGGCCATAGGTCGGACTTGAGCCTTAAAAATTTATCGTAGGTCATACTTAAATCTTTTAAGATTTGCCCTGCCATGACCTATTTCCACTCCTAATCACCGCCATAAATTTCTCTATATTCTCCACACACAAAAACTAAAGTCTATTTCTCAAATTGTTCGTTTATGAAACAATTCACCGTTGTTAAAATCGTCTAATTTTCAACTCGAAGATTAGTCTTGTTCCACTTTGACCAAAATAATCTCACATTATTTGAAAATTGAAGATAAAAGTAGTTTATATACAACACTCATACTTCTTAATCCAACGAGACGTAATTCTTAAAGAATAAAATTTTAAAGGTTCCCACTCCTAAAGCAGACAATACTTCATAGTCGCAATACCGGGGACATGAGGTTGATTGGAACACTAGCATCATTTGTCAGAACTCGAAATTCACATCGTGCCCTTAGCCTCAATTGAAGGGCAATTGTTGTAGATTGTAACCAAAATAATTTAACATTGCTTAGGAATCAAAACTAAGAGTTGTGTATATACAATTCTCATACTCATCAACTACATAAGACATCTTTTCTAAACGACAAAGTCATAGCTAAAATAGACAATACCTCGTATTTGCAATGACGCGGACTTGAAATTTAAATAGTATAAATATTAAAAATGATAATTAGTATATTATATTAGAAAAGAAAATAATGATGTAAGATTTGAATGATGTTGAAGAAAAAAAAAATTGGAAGATCGCATTTAATAATTGAATATAGAGTCGAAAAAAAAGAGACATATAGAGGAAGGGAAAATGATAGGTGGTGGTATCCCATAGGCAAAGTCTCCGCCACCTCCTCCTATTCTCTCTTCTCTCCCTGCTATTTCTCCTTCTCTCTCTCTCTCCTCTCAAGTACGTTCCATTTCTCTTTCTCTCTTTCACTCACTCCCATGTAACTCTGTTTCTTTCTCTCTAAAACTTGTCATCCAATCCAATGTTGTGCTCTTTCTTCGCTCGGATCATTCTCCTACTCCTTCGCAAACTACGGTCAGGATCCATTTTCTCTATTTCTCTTCAATTCAATGCTGTAACACTTTATTATTCATTCTCATTCTTTTTCTCTATTTTCATTTTCATTTTTTCAATTTCAGGAACACTGTTTTCACTGTTTCCTTCAGTTTGTAGCTCAATTGGGGATTTTATTTCACTAACACCTTTGGATCTTACCGTCACTTTCTATTCAGGTTCAATTTTTTCACTCTTTTTTTATTTATTATGTTACTTTCCTTTTTCATACTAATTTATTTATTTAATTATTTATGTTTCTTGATGTTAAACATGGCACTTTTATTAATTACATGGATGATAATTTTTATTTCTTATTAATTTTGTCATAATTGTCTTTCATGTTGTTGTAAACCAGTGTTAGGGTGATGGATTTGTGTGATTAAGGGATTGGGAATTTTTTGTTTCATGTTGGTGGTGTATTTATTTTGCTTCCTGATTTGGTAAGACTTAATTAATGTGATTTGAAACTATGCAGTAATCATAGTTGGTTTTATTTTTTAGTGGTTTCTTTCCTGATTCACTTGTGATACCATAATTGATTTCTCGGAGCTTTTACTTCTTAGACAGAAACTTAAATTATCATACATCTTAAAGGTTATTGTGTTTTCAATTATTTCCCTTTCCATTTAAGAATTGTGTTAGCTTTGTTTGTATTTGAGACACCTTGATAAAGGTCATTGAATTGAATATCATTCTGTTTGTGTCTTGGTGTGTCCCAGTCCCGCACATCAAAAGTAAGATCTTAAAAATGGGACAAAAAATTTAGAGCATTAATTGCTTTTTTGTAATGTTTTAATTTTTTTTGGAACTTTAGCTAATTTAATTTGTGGTTGTAAAATGATTTGTAGACTCTATTGTTTAGGAGATGAGTCGTGTGAAAAAGGAGAATGAAGATGATATGCGCTGCAATGATCAATCACAGTCACGGTTGAATGGTGAGGGTAACAGGGGAAGTGTTGGTGTTGGTGGTGGAGTAGTTCTGAAGAAAGGGCCGTGGACAACTGCAGAAGATGCTATTTTGGTTGAATACGTCCGGAAACATGGCGAGGGGAACTGGAATGCTGTTCAGAAGCATTCGGGCCTGTCTCGGTGTGGAAAAAGCTGCCGACTGCGATGGGCGAATCACTTGAGGCCAAATTTGAAGAAAGGATCATTTACTGCAGATGAGGAGCAGTTGATTGCTCAACTCCATTTAGAAATGGGAAACAGATGGGCACGTATGGCAGCGCACGTAAGCATACTTTGTCTTTGTCGTTACCTTACATATTCTCTAGTTTTCTCGTTTCATTTTTTCTGCTCCTTTTGGTTTTTGAGTAAGATATGAATATACTTTTTTCCATAGTTGATGTCAGTGATGTTTTACATTTGCCTTGTATCCTCTCTATGATTACCCTGTTTTCTTTTTAACTTGTCCCTAACTAAACGAGCTAGTCAGATTTATCCTACTCATCACTTTCAACAACAAACATGCAGATAAATGAATTAAACTCGCTATTTAAATAATCAAAATATGTATGGTTTCATCCTAATAGCCGGTGTTGCAGCTTACACTTATACGGTATATATACAGTTTACTTGTCATTTCGTAGCATTCCATATTTAAATAAAACAGTCTGTATAAACATTGTTTGATATTGAAAATTTGTATGACAGTTTTTACGCAATAGAGAGCCTTACAACATCCTTGCATATTTTATGTGATATCATCATGTTTGTATACTGAAATGGATAAACAAAATTGTGAATTTTGTTTATCATAACATCATGGAAACTGTTGAAGCCTAATATAAAAAAGGTTTACAGTGTCAGGTGATCACATCATGCTTGATTTTGTGGTCTTCTTCTGCTTAACAAAAAAGTTCTTATGTAGCTAAATGAAATGACAATTGTATCACCTAAGGTTTTGTAATTGAGCAACCAGTTTCATGCTAAACTCCTTCACCTTTTCATTCGGTCCAAAGAATGATTTTTCATTCTTTAAAAATTAAGCTCGACTTTTAGATCATATAGTCCCTTGCTCGGTATTTTAAGGACAGACCACTATCAGGTGGGGCTACAACCACACGGGGTTTGATCCCCCGCATGCAGAATCCCTATTGCTGTCTAAATTCCATTAGGGGTCTCCCTTCCAAAAACTACAAAAAGTTAGAAAAGCCTAAATGTTAGGCAAGGATTGTTAGAACATTTTTATAATAGCTACATAAATCCGTAAGTTGAGTGAAAATATGAGGTGATAGATCAATCATATAAATAAAAATGGTTGTCTCTAAAATAAGAGGTGCACTTTAGTGGATAAAGTATGTCATTATAGCTGTTGATCTGAAAATAATCCATTGAGATTTTAACAATAACCTTTGATTTAATAAAATAATGGTTATTACCCCACACTTTTGCTAATCTTTGTAAAACGGAGGATAATTGCTAGATTTAGATTTCAGATAAAAGCTTTTAATAAAATGTAATAATCCTCAACATTTTGGTTTTTCAAATAAAGGAGAATTATCATCCACCAAAGAGGGGGAAAAGGCTATTAATCCCCAATAAAATTGCTTCTATTACCACATAGTAATTTTCTTAATCCATGATTATTTTTATGATTGATTTCTTTTGCTTTTAGTTGCCTGGTCGTACAGATAACGAAATAAAGAACTACTGGAATACCCGGACCAAGAGGCGTAATCGGGCTGGCTTGCCACTTTATCCTCCAGAAGTGCGGAAAAAGCAAGGGAGTCAACGTGGCCAAGACACTGTTGGAATCGATAATGGTGATAGAGGGCATCATGATTTCTTGCCGAAAAACAACTATGAGATGCATGATGTAATGTTTGACAATTTGAAAGAAAATCAACGAATCTTACCTATTACAGTTGTGCCTGAGAATCCTGATATTTCTGCGAATAGCATTCTGCTAAACAGTCTTGATTCTCCTCCATATTGTAATTCTGTGCCATCAACCCTACCTAACCATCACCACCTTCGAGAATCAACAATGTCTTTTCTTGGTTCAAGTGGAACAAACAAGAATTGGTTTTATCCATTTTACCATGTTCAGGATCATAGTTCTGATACGATTGTACAATCATTCGGTTTGCATTCTCCCCTCGATCCTGGTTTCTCCTCACACAACTCAATGTATTACCGCCATTCCCTATCAAATGGCAATTCCTCCACTTCTAAGCCGACATCCAAGGCTGTGAAGTTGGAGCTCCCTTCACTCCAATATCCAGAAACCGGCTTTGGTGGCTGGGGAAGTACTTTTCCCTCACCTCCATTGAATGAGTCTGTTGATGTATTCAATCAGTCTCCTCTGCCACATGGTGCGCTAGAGTCCGGTTGTTCTTCCCCACGTAATAGTGGGACACTCGAGGACATAATTTATCAGAAGAAGACTCTTCCAAATTCAATGAACAACTGTTCTGACAAGAGTTCTCATTCATCTACTGCAACTCCTGTTGAAAGAGCTGAGAGTTCTGCTTTGAACATGAATGAAACAGAATGGGAAGATTACACTGACCATGCATCTTCCTTTGGTGCAACCTCAATCCTGAATGAGTGTCATGCTGTTAACACCAACGCAAACTCATGGGATAAATTGACACCTGCTCAGAACTTTAATGGTTAGTGCCTTTTAATGTAGTATTTTAAATTTGTGGACACTTCCACGCACACCTTTGACACCATGCAAAATTTCATAAATATTTTTTATATAAATTGTTTTATTATATGCTTCATTGTTTCACTTGCATAATACATTCTTAAAATCAGTACTAGATTCCCATTTAATTTCTGTTTTTTCCTTGCAAAAGTTGTGATGTTAGAAATTTCTGCAGGCAACAATGTGAAATATGAGCCTATTGACCAAGTTTGTACCCCAAAGAGTGAAAATCAAGGTATGTCTATGTTGAACATCACTTGGCCAGATGTATTGTTAGCTTCAGATTGGCATGAGCAGTGCTATGGGCATGAGAAGAACATGGCTGAGGCTGGTGACAACTTAGCAGATTATAAACATGTGGCTGGTGGTACTTATTCTTCAAGTACAGGGGGTTGCTTTATGCACATGGCATAACATGTTTTCTGTCTGAAAAATCTGATCTTCATTGAGAAAACAGTTAAAATGAATATTATGAATTTTTCCTTATGCATTCATGTTATTCTTTTGACATGAGTAGTATTCAGTGTAATATCTTTAGGTGTTGCACTTATTGTAAACAACCTTGAAACTCCTAGGAAAGTGCGCTTTTTCAGGTATTTGAATAATGTATAATGACATGGCACATGAAACTTTGGATTGCAAGTTGCTAAATGGAGTGATTATGTTTTGTATTTCTTTGCTCATGTTTGCATATTGTGCTGATAATTTGTCATTTGATTTTGACAATGTTATGTGCTGATAATTTGTTTTCATGTGTTATTCTGAACAGTTCATAAAAATAAGCTGAAAACGACTTATGAACATGTCTTAAGTTGTTTTAATAAGTTCTCTCAAACACTTTCACAAGTGTTAATGTCAGTAGATAAACAAACTCGAATAAATTAATCCAAACAGACTCAAATCAAACTTTAGTTTTTTCTGATTTGTAGAAGATGAGCATAGGAACTACTAATTTGGTCATGAGAACGTAACACTAAACTCTTGTAAGGCATTATAATTTGAGATTCTTGCAATTTGCAGTGATGGAACTAGTTCCAATATTTCCACTTTCATCATCTGATTCTGAAGAGTCCTGCATATCATCTTTTGATTTAGAATAGCTTGACATAGCAATACTGTCTTTTCCCACTATGCAGCCACTGCAACCTTCCTCTATATGTGTTAAGGCCTTGACCACCTAATAATAACAGTATGTATATTAAGGCTTGGATTGGATTGAATTGTTACGTCTAAAAATGAAATGTTGCAGCTAGGTTTTGACAGTAAGAAAGTGGAAGTGTAGACTTACTGTGTTCATATCTAATCGTTTGTGAGGATCTTTGTTAAGACAATTTCCAGCTAGACGACTCAACCAGAAGAGTTGATGACAGTCATGTGAATCCATTATCCTTCCATCAACAAGTTTTTGACAGTTCCCTTGTCTTAGTAGTGGTCTAGCCTGCATGCGAAAAGACTAACTAACCTCAATATCATAATTCTATGCAAATGAAACCGCAGTTTGAATTAATGATCACATAATGCATATGTACATCAAATGCCAGATACTGTTGTGATTCTTACCCATCCCACTAGATTCTTTCCACCAAGTCTTTTGTCTGTAGTCTTCATTCCAGTTATTAGCTCAACTAGAACCACACCAAAGGAATACACATCTGTTTTATTTGATACTTTACCAGATGCTGCATATTCTGGTGCCCAATATTCCAAATTTCCAGGACATTCTATTGAACATGAGAATTCTTCACTTACAATTTTAGCCAAACCAAAATCACCAAGCTGAAAACAACATAATGCACTTTTAGAACAACAAACTTGGTTAAAAACAAAACATGGAAAATGCAAACAGATGGTTTGGTCTAGGAATTCGTCTGCAGAGTTATATTTATGTTAAGATTACCAAAACTTCACAATCATGTGTAAGAAGAATGTTGTTTGGCTTTATATCTCTATGTATGATGTTATTCTGATGCAGGTATAACAATCCTTTGGCAGCTCCATTAGCAACTCTCACCCTATCTTGCCAACAAAGAGGTTTCCGAGAATGTTCTGCAATCACAATTTAAAACCATAATTAGAAGGAGATGCTCGATAATTAGACATGTTCATAAGTCGTTTTCGTACGTGATAAATGTTGATCGAGTGAACCATTGCAGACGAATTCGTAAACAAGAAACCTATTGTTTCCTTCGGAACAAAATCCAAGAAACACGACAACATTCTGATGTCTTGCTTTTGTTAGTGCATCGACTTCGGACTTAAACTCCTTCTCTTGTTTGTGATTCGCATGAATACATTGCTTAACAGCAATCTTCTGTCCAAGAATCTCTCCTTTGTAGACAGAACCAAATCCACCTTCTGACAGAAAATTCTTTACGGAAAAACCTTGTGTGGCTGCATGCAACTCAGCATATGTGAAGTCTCTTACTGTCCAATCAAGCTTTGGTCTCTTGTTATGGCACATTGAGCAAATAGATTGTTCAACTAATTGATTATGAGAATGAGACATTTTTTCGTGAGAGCAAAGGAAAAAGAAAGCACTATTCAATTTTGGTGGTGTTGTTCATTTTGAAGGGCTTTGTTAGCCTTGAAATTAGAGCCTAGAAATTTGTACTTTGGAAGATACAATGTTGGCACTAGGATTCCAAAAGATGCTTAGTAGATGATTCAAGGACTTACAATAATATTTCCTACTCGCGTCCCAAAATAATTGTCATATTTAAAAAAAAAATTGTTCTAAAATATTTGTCACTTTAGATTACTAATATAATTTTACATTTAATTTTTCAATTGTACACGCTAATAAATATTCTTAATTTATGGTTTTCTCACTTAACATTAATGTTAATTTAAATACATCAATAATTAATCAGAATAATTTGATAAAATTACTATTCTCTCTTTCATTTATTATTGTTTCTTAATTTGTGTGAAATAATCAATTGCGACAAATAATATGAGAGATAGAGAATAGTTTATATGAAATTTAGTATATTGATTCTTTTTATGGAACCTTTAACTTAGTTTTGTTCATGTTTTAAAAATTAAACCGGTTCAGTTGATTAAATTTTTTTTGGATAAAAATTAGAGAAATGAATTCTCAATCATTAATCTGTCAAAATAATTTCTATATATTTATCGAATATTAAACATGTATCATTTGATTTCAATTGGTTAAACTTTAAATAAATTTTTATTAATATTTCAATTAAGTTGGTCAATAAGTTAAAATTAATTTTTGATTTGTCTCTAATGTTTAAGGTGGTTGAACTATGCTCTAGAAATGTCGTGAGTTTGATGTTCGATTTAATCTTTACAATAAGGAGAATTAGATTCTTTTAGACTTAAGCATAGTCTCTTTATTTATTTATTTATTTATTTTTTACATTTTAAAAATCAATTAATCAAAATTTTATTTTATCAATTAATTATTCTAATGTTAAATATAAGAGACATTTGAATTAACAAAAATTAAAATATTTAATCAAGTTTTTTAAAATTAAATACATCAATTTAATATTGTTAATCTAAACATATAATCTAGATCATTAATGTCACACTTAATACTCTCAATATAGTTTTCTTAAATTGTTCAAATAAATCCAACCAACTTGATTCATATTATTTAAGATCCAATGTGACTTTTATATTTCAAGGGAAAAAAAACATAATTGGTTTTGGTTATACTTGTGATCAAGAATATTCATCCACATGGGAAAATTTTGTAACTTTCTAAGTATGGAATATAAATTTTAAAGAACATAGTGCAAAACGAAGAAAACTCCAAAAAGAATCTTGGTGATATCTATTTGGAATTACATATTCTATTACTTTTATCTTTTTTTAAAGGGGTATAGTCGTTAGAGAACATTGTTGAAGACAATTGTTGACAATTTCTATAAAAGATTCGAGTATACTTACAATTAACAATGTTGAAGAAATTTTGTTTAAAAAGTAAACAATGTTGAAGATTGGCACATTAATCTCTTGGAAATCATCACAACTTGCAAGTTTTCGTGTGTGTATATATATATATATATATATATATATATATATATATATATATATATATATATATATATATATATATATATATATATATATATATATATATATATATATATATATATATATATATATATATATATATATATATATATATATATATATATATATATATATATATATATATATATATATATATATATATATATATATATATATATATATAAAAGAGGCATTTAGACTAGGTCGCCCAAGTCTCAATCATTCTTAATTTTCAACCATTCTGAAGAAAAAAAACATAACAAAAATAAGAGGAAAGAACGAGTTCAAATATGCATATTCAAAAATCTAGAACATAACGATTATAATATGCATATCCCAAAAAAAGCTTTGACTTTAACAATGGTAGAACCGTTTCTGCAACTGCCCTAACTTCTCGAAACCCAAACAAACTCATTCAAATCGTATAAACAAAGTCTTCAAACTTGTATGCTAACCTATTTGAGATATCTAATGCATTAAAATTAGTACGTTTGAGCTAATACATTAATCAAAAATCAAAATAAATTAAATGAGAAATTTACTCTTAAATGTGTTGGTGAGGATGTAGAGTGCTCTAATGTTGAATGTAGTAGGTAGAAGGAGTTGGAAATGGTAAGAAACACAAGAATGTAGTCTAAAAACTTGATCTTGAGGGTAACTATAAATGGATTGAGAGGGAGATAGAGAGAAACTTTTGTTTTTCTGAAAAATGAAGAAGGAAAGAGAAGAGGAAAGATCTGGCGCGACCTTTAAATAAGTCTAACTAATTCGGAGATGCATCTCCGAACTAATTTTTTAAATAAAAAGAAAATGTGTGTTCGGATATTCATCACCGAACACACCCCTTTCATTGACTTCGGACTTACATCTTTGAATTTTATTTTCAAAAAAATAATGTTAATGCGTCTAGAGATACATTTCTAAAAACAATAGACTCTTTGAAAATTTCATGCAGAGTTAGAGAGAAGTAACAAAAGTGTGATCATAAAATTTTCTTAAATTAGGGATATAATTGTTCCAAATAACTTGGTCTAAGGAAGATCTTGGGTAGGGGAACAAAAGTGAAGACATCCTTGAAAGTAAGTGTTACATTAGTTAAATGCTTCCATATAAATTGATTTATAGAGGAATGATGACATCATGCAAAATTTGGATGATATTGGGGTAAGCTTAATAATAGTGTCAAGAACACTCCATCTTCCATGAATAAAATCACTTACATAAATGGTGATGGTGAATTAAAGAGATATATAAAGTGGCAACTAAATAATTCTCAACCCAATTATCATACTTGAAATTCACCTTGAGGCTTTGTCAATCTGCCAAAGACTATTATCCTTATCTTAAGACCACACCACACGGAAGAATCA